AACAAGTGTAAAGTGATATTTTGCCGACGTGCACTGCTCTCTGCCAGCTCAGACGAGTGCATGACAGTGTGTGTCTGTGTGTGTTGTCACGTGTTTTCAGCGGACGGAGAGCTGTTCAGAAATGCTAGGTAAAACACGATGTGGATCATTTTCGTTCATAAATGGCATTTTAATACCAAGACGTATTAGTGTAAACGGGGCCTAAGTGTGTATTTTTTGCGAGCAGGTTCGCAATGGGGGCGGAGAATCGGCGATGATGGCTCAGCATCAAGTTGTCTATTGGCCATCGGCGATGGACAATGACATCGTCTATCTGCCCAACCCTAATGTGCAATATCCATGTGTGATAATAGATATTTATTTTATGTACTAGTTGTTTATCTAAATTTGACCAATCAGATGAGGCCTTCCTATCTGCGTGCCCAGTAGTTGCTGTTCTGCTATTGGTTGGTGTAGGTGTGAAACTCTTTGAAACTGACCCTTCAAGGCTTCGATCTAAATTGTGCCATTTTGGTGATTGTAGCTTTAAATTCAAATGAGAATCTTTTTAAATGACTCAATTGGCGGACGACTGCTTCTCAATCAGGGCTGTTTATGCTAATGAGGGAGAGACGGTAACTAATGGGCGGGGTTTTCCCCCTCTGATGACACATACAAAGGGAGAATGTCAATCAAAGTGTTTCTGCAGACTGTTTTTGTCAAGTGTGATTATAAAAAATAAATTTAATTCATTTTTATCATTAGAGGCTGCTTATATTCATACGCTGTTGCTAAAAAACTGAGTTTAAACCCAATATAAACGTGACTTTTGCATAATAGGACCCCTTTATGACAAAATAAAAAGCAGCCACGTGTATATTTTAACCCAAGCCTCTGAGGACAAATTATGGCTCATTTTCCCATAAACACTGTCTAGTCCTGTAAGGCCAATAGAGGACCGTGTCAATCTGCAGGGTGTTGAGAAGTAGTGAGAAACTTGATATCGCAGGGGGAGAGCATGTGAACACTACAGCGCTCCAAAAAACTCTTCAGGCACTCGCACACTTGCAGAATAACAGAGCGCTCTGGGAAAACGCTGATGCTGCACTTTCCACCGCACGCTCCAGGAGCCGCCACATCCCGGAGAAACTGCTGCATGGAAGCAGACCTCAGGCACATATTAATGTGCGTTTCTATCACACAGACTGTATTTCAAACTCCTTTTGGACAAGTGGGAATAGTCAGAGCCGTGGGCAATTTGAAGAATCTACATATACAGTTGAAGACTCAATTATTAACCCTCCTGTGATATTGTAATTGATATTGTAAGTGCTGTTTAACAGAGTACGGACATTTTTATCAGCATTTCCTTTGATATTTTTCTCCTGAAGAAAGTTTCATTCATTTTAGTTTGTCTGGAATAATAATAATAATAAAATAGTAATAACAAAATTAATATTATGTCAAAAATTAGGGGTGTAACGTTTGATCCGTGATTCGTACGGATCACAACCCACGGTTAGCACACGTTAGCACACGCATTAAACTATGAATAACTGATCTGTAAAATGAGAGTTATTATATTAGTTTAGTGTGAGTTATTAGCTTATGTATGTTATTGGGATGGTATTCTAAAGTTACAACTATTCCTCATTTACTAAGAGTTAATAAATGAAGAATAGCTGCAACTAAAATAACATCGCAATAACATATATAAACTATTGACTGATACTTAACAAGTCTTTAGTAAGAAATTTACAAACATCTTCACGATCTATTACTCATGTATTAGGTATAGTTATAAATCATTAAAATACAGTTAACAAGTCATTTATAACTCGTTAACTAAAAACTTGTAAGTTATCTTTTGGCTATCTATAAGGTACATTTATAAATAATTAACAAATTATCAAACAAGCCATTTATAACCTATTAACTAACAGTTTATTAGTGATTTATTAATTTGTTATAATGGATAGTTATTCTAAAGTGTTACCCAATAACTTGACTAATTAATCTAACTTGCCATGTCAATAACTAATCTAGCTGAGCCATTATATTACATGTGAACCTGAATATTAGTATCTCGCAAAATAATTCATTATATTGTCATAATGGATAAAACTAATTAGTTATTTAAAATTAGTGATTAAAATAGTTTTCTTTTTTAAGTATAAGGGAAAAAACTCTTCATTAAACATTAGTTGAGAAATATTTGAAAAATATTTGAAATTTCACATTAGGACTGTTAATTTCCCTTAACTAACTTCTTTTAACTGGTTCAAATGCTTCAAGGTGATCAATAAAATGTTAAAAGCATTATGTAAATGATATTTGTTCATTCAATATTACCTAAATAAAACTAATTGTGGTATTCAAATGCTGTGAAAACTGAAAAACTTGGCATGAGGTTTTAATTAACTGGAAAACCAATACAGATCTATGAATAAAAAGTTCACGATAAGCTTCTGAAAGCACAGCGTTGTTTGTTAGTAACACTTAGAAATCAGAAATTATTTCATAATTGATATTTTCCACACTATATTTCTAATGACAGATAGTCTGACAGTGCCAACAGAATCCTGTAATCCTCTAAGTAAGTAAAACCTCACCCTAAAGTTGTTCCAAACCTAAAAAAAAAAAAAACATACTACTGTATGTGTACGTCAATAGCTATGAATGTCTTCAAGATATCATCTTTTGTGTTCAGCAAAAGATAAAAAAACTCAAACAGGTTTAGAACAAGTAGAGTATGAGTAAATGATATCAGATTTTTAAAAAAGGGTTTAAACGGAGGTCAGAGCCAGCTCCAAACAGGCTGGTCAGCTTCAAGTGTTTGCTCTTCAGTGTTTGGACGCTCAGTAATGACTTTAAATCACACTGAACTGAGCTAAACTGAACTGAACTTAAACACTAAAACCTGAACTACCCTTATCCAGTTACTATCATCTATGTGAAGCTGCTTTGACACAATCTACATTGTAAAAGCGCTATACAAATAAAGCTGAATTGAATTGAAGTGTGCTTTATAAAATTCATGGAGTTTTGTTCATTTACTTCAATTGACTCCAAACTATTGTGTTTTATTAACGTCTACACCACCCTAAACCCAACCACATAGTAACCAGCTGCTTTGTGTAAATGTCTACACTAGGGCTGAACAATATATTGTTTGTGCATCGATACTGCAATGTGTGTATCCACAATAGTCACATCGAAGGATTAGATCAGGGGTGTCCAAACTCGGTCCTGGAGGGCCGGTGTCCTGCAAAGTTTAGTTCCAACCCCAATCAATATTATTTACAATAATAAACAATTATTTATACAACAGCAAATAATGCTTCAGTTCGAACGCACATCTGAATCAGTTAATTTCTGTTTATGACTAAGTAGCTACAACTGCGACAATCTCTTTAAAAGAACCACTCACAAAGTGAAATTTTGAATTACTCTGATTTATGAAATTTTTGACAACTTCATAAAGCCCAATTTTGTTGAAAAAAATGTTTTTTGGTACCAAATTTCATTTGGTATAATTTGTATCTTTATTTTAATGCCAACTACAAAATAAACAAAAAATGAAGTCAGGGTATCTGTAGATAACAAGATGTCAAATGTAAGACTTTTTAAGACCTTTTAAAGACCATTAAGTATTAAATTTAAGACCTATATCGCAATTTGAAAAACTCGCGAGAGAAAATGTAAAATCACAAAATTAGTAGTAAAATAAAGTTATTTAAATTGAACAGTACTAAAGAAAGGTTAATGCACCATTAAACTACAGAAAAAACAAACAAACATCTTAATGCTAATTTATACTTTCGCCTGGCGCCACATCGCACAACTTACGAAACGGATGAGGCTTTTATACTTGACGCGGTCACCATTAAGATATTCTTTTAAATGACAGGGGTGGTCAAAAAAAAAAACACACAGTAAAATCAGACGAATAAAAATAAAAATAAGACCTGTGCAAAAATATTTAAGACATAGAACAACGAATTTAAGACCTTTAAAGACTTCAAATTTTGATTTTTAAATTTTCAGACTTTTTAAGACCCCGCGGGAAGTTTTAGGTGAAGTGGGATAATACTTGCAAATAATACTTTTAGGTCTTAAGGGAATTATGAATTCAAGTAGGCCTATTATAACATAAAATATAGTATGTCTGACAATATCTTTATAATTTGAGTTATAGTATCGCAATAATACTTGGTATCGTGATACTTGAACTGGTATAGTACCGTAAGATTAATTGTGTCGCGACATCCCTACTGTAAAGACATGCCAAGTATTACGATAATATCACAACAGCCGTCATAGATGACTTCAGAATACATATCAAATATCCGAATGACGTAATGACAGACGGTTTGTTTCGGTGCGCAGTCTCATGTGACGTAACTGAGTTCAACGTTCGCCTTGTCCTATTAATCTAATAATCATGTTATTCGCAAATAGTTTAAAAGCCTTTGAAACAACACACACGGTACTGATACACGTAAACAAATCCCGCGCTCGTGCAGTAATTTCCGATCTCATAATCGAGGAGCATTAAAAGAACAGCCTGTTCCAGGAAGTAACATCACTTCCAACACGCTTGTTTCTCTCTTCACTACAAACACACTATGACTATCAGATACAAACGTGTGGATGCTTATTAATAATATACCAGCAGCCTCAAACAAATGTTAGTACTCATTAGCTGTGCTCAAGATGGACAGACAAGGATGCAACTCGTTGTCTATTGTTTTGAGCTAGCCATAGCCACTCTCTCACTTAGCTCAGCTTCATCCTGCACACAACAAAAGCATCTCCCCGAGGGGCTACATGATAAATAACGCTCTTAAATCATGAATCCATCCAACATATGTTATTCAAAACAAATCCAGAGGTTTGCAACATAAACACTGAGGGCAAGACAGCTAGCCAACTGCGTTAGCTCGCCGTCAGGGCTGCATCGCCCCAGGTTTATTGTGGACTCTTGGAAAGCTGTTGATTGCAGTGCATGCTGCTCTAACCTCATGCTGTACGCGCCCGCCCCGAGCTCCTGCCCGATGCCCGACAAACTGGCATCGAAGTCGTGCACGAGCCCAGACTCGATGGTAGCATCGTCCATCTTCAGCACCCACGCCATGGCGCCCAGATCCTTCTCCTCCGACTCTAACCGGAGCGCCGCCAGCTTCACTGTGTAGCCGACAGCACCTGCGCGGAGCTCGCCTTGCCGCAGCTAGTCCCACCACAGCTGGTTAGTTACCCAAACACGGAAGGCTAGCTGTTAAAAGCAGGGCAAACGGCTCTAACGTTAGCCCCGAGTGCCGTGTGCCTCGCCATTGCTTCAGTTTCACAGTAACACAGGCGAGAAATAACAAAAGTCAGATTCTCCAGAACAGACGCGTTTCCAGCTCACTGTGGTACCGCATATGCACTAGCACGCATCATTTTCCCACTGTATGCGATCTTCCATTATATAAACGCAGGGTGGGAGGACGCTGTCACCGCTTTCACACGCAATGTCCGCTCGAGTAAACACGAGAGAGCGTCTTCTTCTAATCCTGACCGCAGCAGGGTTGTGTTTGTACAAAAGCTGTCCTCCGAAAGCGCTCGCCCAGTTCCATCGTGCTAATGAGTCGTTCCGGAGGATCACATTAACAGCAGCTCGACGCGGCCCTCCGTCTGTCCGTCTGCCACCATTCAAACCGCAAACTCGAGCTGCAGCCGCTGCGGGATCCGCTCGGGATTCAGACAGCCAATCACGGAGCTCTGCGAGCTGCGCTCAGCCAATCCGATTCCGAGGATCTGCCGTCACCGTCTGCCCGACTAGCGCTCCCATTCACGTTGCAATATGGTAGATAAATGTAAAAACAAACGCTCACAGGACTACTCATATTATTCGCAAACAGTATCGTCATGGCTTTTTTGCTAATTTTAATTCCTCTGGCTATTACTTTTCTGTTCTACCTGTAATAATATGTAACATTACTGGTTGAAATTCTGTGCAAATTGTAGTTCTCTTGTTGTTAAATGTGTTCATTTGCAAATAATAATAATAATCACCAGTGTGCGAATTATACACTGACGGCTGGGGGATCTCGGATACAAGCGGCCGAAATGACTTTCCGAAGGGTGGCAAGGCGCACTCTTATGGATAGGGTGAGGAGCTCTGACTCCCGGAAGGAGCTTAGAGTATAGCCGCTGCACCACCACATCGAGAGAAGTCAGCTGAGGTGGCTCGGGCATCTGTTTCATATGCCTCCTGGATACCTTAGAACAGGGGTGGCCAATCCTGTTCCTGGAGAGCCACCTTCCTGCAGATTTCAGTTGCTACCCATATCAAACACACCTGAACCAATTAATTAGGACCGGAACACCACGTGATAATTACAGGCAGGTGTGTTTGATATGGGTTGCACTTGCAACTGAAATCTGCAGGAAGGTGGCTCTCCAGGAAAAGGATTGGCCACCCCTGCCTTAGAAGGTGTTCCAGGCATGTCCCACCGGGAGGAGGCCTCGGGGAAGACCCAGGACATGATGGAGGGACTCGGGATCCCCCCGGAGCTGGAGGAAGAGTCTGGAGGGAGGGAAGTCTGGTGTTCTCTCCTAAAACTGCTGCCCCCACAACCCGGCTCTGGTAAAGTGGCATGAATGAATGAATGAACTGAGGAAATATAACTACTATTTAAAGTAAACAGAATTTAAATAAATTGTGTGAAATCTGTCTTTTTGAGCACGTGTTTTAAATAACTCTGTCTATTACAACATGCCCCGCAGGTGGGGTAAACAGTTACATTTTTACTCCTGGCACTTGTGGCAATACTGCACAGAAACCATAAGTCCGGCGATCACAACACCAGTGCTCATTTGTAGGAGAGACTTGTGTGTTGTTGGTAAAACAATCTGGTTTGTCTAACCCTGTTACTTTGTTCAATATTTGGCCAAAACTAAAAAGTGTCACTTTGTGCCCCGCTCTCCCCAATAAGTACATTTATGTTTATATTTTATTTATAATACAATTTTATCCTCTAATACAAGTAGTCGTATTAATGTACCATACCTTTCATTTGACCTGCTCAAAGAAAACACTTCTGTACATATCAAACAAAACTCCAGGACATGCACAGAACAACATCAGCATTTTCAGCAAATAAATGTATTATCCCGCTTTGCTGTTTGAGCGCTGCTGTTCAGTGAGTTCTTCAACACCTGTGTTTGGTCAATGTATTCCCACACTCGACAGAAAGGGCTGTGACTGGTGGTCAGCGCGGCTCTATTTTTAAAAACTTACAGCATAATTTATTAAAATGGACGCGAGTCTCGTCAGCTCTCCTCTTTGGTGATGCAGCTGTAGGTTGGAGGGAAGGTTAGTAGAGCAGTAATCAGCCCGATTTAAAATCATTGGGTTAATTTGTTGTGTTCACTTTAATGAAATAAAGAGACGTGTAAAAATTATAGGTGGGCATAGATACCGTTTTTAAATCTAGATTAATCTCACTGTTATCTTGGAATTAATCTAGATTAAGAACAGGTCTCAAGCCAGGTGGCGCATTAGACCAGGGGCTCATCTCCTGTTTCCAAAATGCATCACAAACTGCTTGAGAAACTGTTCTACTATGATAATTGGTGATGGAAATGAATGATGTTCAATAAGATGTGCTTGTGTTTACTCACTGTTTACTCAGTTAAAGATGAATTTTGCCCTGTAGGCCTACTTAAGCCCCAAACAGCGATTTTTGATTATCTTAATCCGACTAAAGTCATCACTGAACTAAACAGAAATGGAATTAAGTGGAGAACGCAGATATTAGTGGCATTATTGAAGTAAACAATCAAACTATTACCTTCATATTTACCGACAAGATCCACACACACAGCTGTCAGTAAAGGACCGTGCACGCACACGCACGCGCACGCACACACACCCACAGTGAAATGCGGAAGTTTTTTCTTTCCATTTGGCGTGCGTTATTAAATTCCATAACACTCTCACCAGTCCTTAGTCCTTATTTGCGTCTAATATCCCAGTTTGTCACAGGGGCATGAAGGAAATGTTCATGAGTGAATGTGAAACTGCTGAACTGCAGTTAAAGTCAGCCAAAATTACATGAAACTCTTACATGAAAGCACTTCACGTAAACACCTTAATTATATTGTCTATTAACTAGATTACTGACGTCCATGTAAGCGTAGTCAGTAGTGTCTTCGAAGTAAGTGAAAGATCCGGAAGGGCATCCTGCTGATTTGATTTAGAAGGGTATTTTTTTTATCAGACGCTCACCGGTTTGACTTTCATTCACCATCATTCATTTTAAAAAGCACCAACTCCATTTTATTTCTATATGTTTTAGTCGAACACATAAACTCGACAGGAGCCTGATAGTCAGATGTGGAGCTAACATCAATCAGATTCACTCTAGTGAACTACATCCATGTTAGCACGTCACGTTTGATGTGGTACTTTCACAGTAGGAATACACACAGGTTCACAGACTCGTTCTCGCCACCTACAGGGCACTATCATACATCCGGCGCAATGTGCCGCAAGGCGCGGCGCAATAGTCTTTTGCTAGTTTCAGCTTTGCGTCTTTCCTTGACGCAAGAGTCGTTTTGAGGCGTTGCGCTACAGTGTTTAAATAGCAAATGCATTAGCGCTCATATGTGCGCCCATAGGCGTTCTCGTCTAAAAAGGAAGGTGTTCTGAGGCGCATTGCTGGCGCGTTGCTATTTTGAGAAACTAAAATAGATTTTTCATTAGACCAAAACAAACCCGGTCTAAACTCCAGCGCAGAGCAGCGCCTCGCTTACGCACTGCTTAATACACACAAGAGAGCAATAGACAAATATCTTTACATATGAAAAAATTTAAATATTAAGCATATATATAGGATATAATTAGAATAGATATAGGATATAAATATAAAGGATTAAAATATTACAAAACATTAATTTCTAGCCTACATAAATATGAAAAACCACTGCTTTTATGTCTTCTTCATCTCGGGAGGCTTTTTCAGTTCATTCATAACAATTTGCTTTTGTATAATGTTATTATTATTAGCAGTATTATTTAATATATCCATATTTATATTTGTTTTATTAAAAACAAGCTTAGATTAGTCCAACTGCAGGTTTTAGACCATATGGGGCACAGCATGTGTTTTAGGATATAACTCAGGTTTTTGAGCACACTTCGTTATTATTGTTTATTTATTCGTTTGCTGGAAATTAGAACTGAATTTAGAAATAGTTTTGAAACGAATATTTGAGCTTAATAAACGCAATTAATTAATTATAGACTAATTGATGTCTGTGCGTAAAGGTTTCCCTATTCTAGAGCGAAAGTGAAAGTAGATCCATTATCTCTCATTCTCGCGCAGTAAATGCTCTGTTTAACAGTTTTCTGTTAAAAAAACTGTCAACTCTTTGCTAGTGAAATGCTCATTTTTTCCACTTAGACTTATTTGCGTCCTGTAAATAGCGAATGCGCTTATGGTGCGACACAGCTGGCTCTTAAAGATAATGGGAGATGAGACTCTGATTGGTTTATTCTAAAAACACACCTATAACTCATTAAGAAAATAAACTCAACACTTTTAGACCATGCGCCATGGCGCAAAGCGGATTTTCCCGTCCTTAAATTAGCAAAAATGCGTTCTGACATGCCCTGAAATCGTTTGCGCCCTGCGTTTTGCGCTCTGTACATGGACCGTCAAAATAGAGCCCACAGTGTAATTCGGCCAGATATACATCCGTGCTAAAATATCAAGGTGAAAGTCATCAGAGCTTGCATAGAACAGACCCAGCTCACACCCAAACTTTGAGAATAGATGGATATTTTGTTTTAATCACCCGATAAGAGCCTCGCGTTAACACAGCACGTTAACGCCGATTATGGCCCCCCACCACTAGTAAAAACACAAAATAATGAAATAAATCACGTCAGAAATCGTGAAGAGACAGTCGTTTCATTACTGTACATTTTCTTTATTTTAATTTCATCGTTAGCACAGTTCTAGAAATGCAACGGGAAGAAACAGAGCTTCCTCACGGGGGGAGAAAGAGCGACACCTACAGGAAGGAAGTGACACGACAATTGCGGCATTTAGATGCGTAAATACATTTCTACAAATTCCCCATCAGAGAAGAATGACACTATGCTACTCAAAAGAATCCACACGCCTTCAGGACGTCACAAGACCTTCTCAAATATTCCTCGTTGTTATGGTATACATAGATACATGTTGCCTATGTGGGGTGTGTGGTTTCACATGTGGCCTCTTGGGGGCGACCAATGCGTCCAGGTACGCGACCAGATAAAAAGGTTTGGTTTTATTTTCGTGACATGCATATAGCCAAGCAAAGTATGCCTTATAATAAAGCAAGCTGGACCAACCGCTCACTGTTATGAACTGATATGACCGTTAATAATCGATTAGGAACGTTAACGACACGTCACTCGCACCAGGAAGTTTCGTACTTCATCTTAAAAATCATAGTTCGATAAAAAGAAATGATCTCCGCGCTGCACAGAAACACACCAGGACTCTCTCCGCAGGATTTAGCGGTCTTCTCACCGTGAAGCAGAGTCTCAGAGTCGCAGGAGGCTGCATGCGGCGGTGTGTGTTTCTGTGGGCAAGCGCAGGTGTGTGTGTGTTGGTGTTTGCATTTGAGTTAAAAAGCCGGCCGGGGTGCTGTAGTTGAGGACGGTGCGGTTACAGGCCCTGCCCTCCCACATCTG